CACACCCACACCCCACACCCACCCACACCCTCAAGGTAATAGTTAAGCAATGAACTATCGACATAAAGTGTTTTATTTCAAAAGATTTGAATCATTGCCCGAAACAATTTATGAAATATGTAAGGTAGTCAAATTTGAACAAAACAAGTGTAATTGTTAAATCGTAAACATAGGAATCCATGTTAGATTAATATAATCTTGTTTCTCTGTCTTTTTAAAGCGATTAATATCATTTATAAATATTCATATGAATTCATTTTAGATCGACATATCTACATAATAAATAACATAATTCGATTGATTTTCTTTCAAGAGAAATGGCAACAGAAAACAAGTCAAATTTATGTTCAATCTGCAATAAATCACCAGGAATTCGCTTTTGCTTTGGATGCAATAAACACTTTTGTTCAAAGGATTTTCGAGAACATGAAAAACAATTAGCAATTAAATTCGATGATGAAGTAGTTAGATCTCATGATGAACTTCTGGATCAAATACAAAAGTTAGAAAAATCAAATTATTTGTCATCGGATCTTTTCGCTCAAATTGAACAATGGAAGAAGACAACAATCAACAAAGTTGAAAGAGCAGCAGAAAAGGCACAGCATGAACTTGCCGAGCTAATAGATAAAAACCGAGCAAAATTAACAAAACAACTTCAATCAATTACAAAAGAAATTCATTCACGTCAAGAAGAAGAAGAAGTTTTTGCTGAAAATGATATAGATCAACTTAAACAAGAAATCGATAAAATTAGACAAAAACTTGAAAAACTCATTCAAAAAGATAAAACTCAAAGCATCATTATTGAAAATAATCAAATTGATTGGAATCGACTTATATACATTCAAGAAATCCAAGATGAACGTGGTATTGAAGAAAAACAGCAAAGTCGAGGAAAACAAATCAACTGTGAGTATTTTCAAACTAATTTCTGAAAGAAAACAAGAGATAAAACCATCTAACGGGTGGCGTAGAATAAATTATACCATGTATATTTCGAATATCACTCTTCTGCTATCCATTAGACCGGGATATCTTTTTAAACTAAAAGATGGCGCTTGAAATTCTCTACAAAACTGTATATAATTGAAACTAAAATTTATTTCTCCTTCATATAAAAAAATATGAAAAGTAAAGATATACAAATAGTTGTAAAAACTAAATATGAAAATGTTGATGGCCCGACAAAAATTTATCGTGATTTAGCCGGAGCTGCTTCATTATCCGTAATTAAATTATGGTTTAAAAATGATCAACATTACTAGTTCTATCACACTATTATCTCCTCCAGGCTTCCCACGCACGATTCGTACAAGCGCCGCTACTGAGAAGGTTAAATACCGTCTAAGTCAAAAGAAATGAGTGTCTACAAGAAAACTAGCTAAAAAAATGAATATTTCTAGAAGGAGCATACAGCGAAAATTTCGTAAAGATCTTGACTGTAAGCCGTACAAAAAAATAAAACAACGTAAGCTAACTAATCTTCAAAAAAATAAGAGGGTTAAGTTTGCTAATTGGATGCTAAATAACTACACTAAAGATGACACTAAAAAATGACTTTTCCAGATGAAAATTTTTTTTGACCTTGACGGGATATACAATTCACAAAATGATCAGGTGTGGGCTGCCAACAGAGAATAAGCTGATAGAAAAGATGCTTTTCATCAGAAAACGAAATGTCCACAAAGAGTGATGGTGTTGTTGGGCGTATGTGCTGAATGTTTAACAACACCAGTAATTTTGGAAGATGGAGCGATGAATGCAGATATGTACATCAATAAATTCCTTCCAATAGCTCTCGAATGTGGTGATAAAATGTTAGGAAGTAATAGGACTTATCAACAGGATGGCGCTAGGCCTCACATACACCATCTGAGTCAAGAATGGTGTACCAAGCACTTTCCTGAATTTATCGCGAAGAAGCTTTGGCCGTCCAATTCACCCTACTTATGGCCCTTGGATTACCGTTTATGGAACGAGCTGGCTCAATGCATCAATTGAGATCGAATAACAACAAAAGCAATGTCGGTTGAAGAGATAAAACGTTCCGTCAAAAATTGACAAACAAAAAGTTTTAAATTCTATACTTGATTTTACTATAAGGTTACGTGAAATAAAATAAATGGAGGCAACTATATTCATTAAATGAAATATATTTTTTGTGTAGAATTTAAAGCGCTTCTTTTTGATACAAATACTAATTTTGTTTGATTGGAAAACAGAGGAGAAATATTAGAAATACTAACGGTATAATTTATTCTGCGCCACCCGTTATTTATGGCAATCAACACCCACCCAAACCCACTATCCAGTCTAGTTTCGAGAGTTCGAGATTTGTCCTACATCTATTACTAAATGTAGCTCTGGACAGAAGACTGACCTGACTGAAACTTCTCCCATTTAATCATTTTAGTTCTTCATACATACTGACTAATCAAATACCAGTCACAAAGTCTTTCAGTGCATGCTAACCACGTGCTTATTTTGTCATGAAATAAATGATCTGAGAAAAGCAGCCGTTAGTGACTTGTCCAAAATCAATTTATGACTGATGGAGTCGATGTTCGAACACCGTAATTATAAGTATGTGTCAAGAGTCTTAACCATTCAATCATACCGGCGAGTCTTCGAGTGATGTCCACATCAAAACATGAATGTTAAAGTATTAGCTACGATGGTTCTAAATCTCTGTTCCATCCTCTAGTTATTTAAATGAACATTTATTCAATAATAATGACTTATATATTTCAGTCTAATATACTTTAATTAATAGTTGCTAAGAGCTGAGAAATATTTTGAAATAAAGTGTGAGAACGCCTTTTCTGCACGTGTGGGATATTTGAATAGTACATTTAAGGGAAAACATTATTTATAGAATTTATATTCGTTCTATGGGAATGCTATTTGAATGAAATAAACGGGGGTTTCCTTGCTGGGATGCCTTCTTATCGATACTCATTCAAATGCCGAAATGTTTATGGATATATTCAAATTACCTATCTAGTCTGATGGCTTATATGAGTAGGAGCTTCTTTCAAGTATGACAGTCTGATTATAGACCAGACCTTATATGATTAATTTTAAGGTAGAAGTTCAAGTGAACCAGTATTTTGCTAGCGGACGCTCTAGTAAACAATATTGTCGGCAGATGTGTCAGCAAGCGAACGGACTTTTAGTAGAAATTTTAAGGAGTATGACGCGTTTTCATGGAAGTGTCGCGAATGAGTTTTGCTTCATTGCCTCTCAGAAAGTTGGATATAAGCTCCTTTATTGGGTACATATGGATATCGCCGCCATAGTGTGGTTTCTTAGATTTTTGTTGAGTGACAATGTGAGGGTGTCAATTTGATTGAATGCATTTGTGACAAAAATGGTCATTCGGACCCACATACAATTATGCACAATGAGATTCACGTTAATATCAGCGTACACACATCTACCCACCCTTTTGGAACATTGGATACTAGCTGTGTTGAAGACTGTAAATCGGAAGAAAAAATGGAAAGAGCCGAATATACGGTCGAGGGTCAAGCGAGTTACACGGACGAGCGTTACTTGTTTACTAGAGCGTCCGCTAGCAAAATACAGGTTTACTTGAACTTCTAGCTTAAAATTAATCATATTAGGCCTGGTCTATAATCGGACTGCCATACTTGAAAGAAGTTACTACTCATATTAGCCCTCAGACTAGATAGGTAATTTGTATATATCCATGTACATTTCGACATTTGAATGAGTATCAACAAGAAAGCATTCCAGCCGAAAAAACTCCGTTTATTTCATTCAATTTTCGTTCCGATACAACGAATATAAATTCTATAAATGATGTTTTCCGTCAAATGTACTCTTCAAATATCGCGCACGTGCAGGAAAGGCGTTCTCACACTTTATTTCAAAATATTTCTCAGTTCTTAGCAAATGCTACTCCTTATTCAAACCCGTTTCATCTAGACTCTTGATGTTTATTTGATGAATTTCAACAGCCTGAAGTGTTCCTTCAAGGGACTTTCTAGTGCAGCGGCTAGTCGTTCATCGGCGCCCCTCTCGGGCGCCACTCATGACTAGCCGCTGCTATGTTTCGTTCTATTTCTCCAAAGCACCATGCTTTTTATTTACACTTCATCTAATCACAAACTCGGCTTACGTCGAAAAACCATTCGATTTGTGGCACGACAATTCTCGACGCGGATTTCTAAACCAAAGCTTCATTGTGAAATATTTCTGATTTCTTCAGTTTCATTCTGCAGCGGAAAAATCAGAGTTTTATTGAAATCCCTCATTAAGAAAATATTAGTGCAGTATTCTCAAAAAAACTAGCTTTTATACATATCTTTGGTGAGCGAAATCTACCGAACGGTTGCAATATAAGCGACTAGTCGCTCATTTTACGTCATTGCACTCATGCAACAGTTTGTTTATTGTCTATTTAACATCAAAGATATGGCATCGTTTTTATACCTCTATTTTTTTATTACCTCAAGTTATCGCAACTAGAAATTCCACGAGTTGGAGATCCTCGAAACATATGCAAGGTTAAAAATTCGGATTTTTATAATAATAATAATAATAAATTACAGTTTATTGCCACATACCAGTTTAAGATCCTGCTCCATCTATGAATAAATTTCCGCGAGGTATAGATTTAACCTTATGAAAGAAATGGGAGAAATTTGCTCACGAAATCAGTTCTATTGAAAGATTATAAGAAAATCTAGCTAATTTTACCACATTCCTTGGTCGTTGCAAAAGGCGCCGTCGCCTTTCTTTGAACATAGATGACTTTTTTTATACTTTAAAAAGGTGCTAAGATACGGAGATTTGACATTGGTAGCATCTCTTAGTGAAATCATATTAGTATTTTTGTACCAAACATATGGGACTTCAAAGTGCGAATAACTTTTATCGTTTGAACATTTGAAGAGTATTGTCGAGGCATTCCTAATTTGCTTGCCTTCCCAATCGTTCAAGAGATGCTAAGAGCTACCCATGTCCAAAAAATACCTTCGGTGTCTGTACCAATAATAGAGAGAACGGATACAAACAAGAACTTGAAATTTCAAGAAACCGATTGCAGATTCCAATAACCCGGTCCCCGCTTACTTTCGTCAACCTTTATAAAAGAAAATTCATCTTTGATGTTTTTTTGACCTTGCGACAAACAAACACACAGACACACACACACACGCGCACACACAAACGCATTTCAGCTTTTTTCATATGACCCACCCTACAGTCGAGGGAACAAAAAGGAAACTATCTGTACAATTTTACTACATACACATATACATCATCCAAATTATGAAAATAAAAATCTGATTTTTGATCTAATCCTTCAAATACAATGAATATAAATCGTTTAGAAAAATTCTAGACAATTCTTTTATGCTACGAATGAAATAGAATAAAAATTTAAGTAAAAAGAATATTTTTGCTTTGAATCTATTTAAATTTTGAAAAAATATTGGATTTTTGCGTTTTAATGGTTGATATGATTTTTTTTAATTTAAATATCATTCAAATAAGAATCAACCCACATGAAGAAATTCTGTTTTTTTTGTATAAGAATAATGATTGAAATCGATGAAATTTCTGAAAACCGAGTTATTTTAATTTCCTTACATTTTAATTATCTTAGAGAATTTCATTTTAATTGATTGGCTTCAACTCGTCTGGTTTTTTAATTAATATCTGTTTCTCTTCTAAATAAGCTAAATTCGTCATGGTAGCAGTTCGTTATAGTTTTTGAATAGATGTGAGCCTATTTTAAGTTAATTTACACTTTCTCGGGTACTGTTGAAAAACTTGAAATGCAATATTATAGAGATAAGCAGACGATTCACATTTCAGTAGCATAAATAAATAAATATATTTTTCTATCAGCTGCACAATAGGATATGTTCTTTTTTTTTGTTTCAATATTTTCAAATAGTGATGCCTATTTTTAGATTATAAGGCTATTTACAATTAGGATACAGTTTTTTACAACTAGTGAATTTTCGAAACAATTCGTAATTGACGATTGATTTGTATTTTCTGAACTTTATGAAAAAGTAATATTTATATGGTTTTTGACTAAAACAATCTCTGACTGAGAGTTTTCCAAAACTTTGTGCTTAGTATAATGATGTTCGATACTTTGCTACAATTAGGAGTGGAAAGTTACCGTTTCCAGTTACCCGAGAACGGGAGTGACGGTTAGGCGACTTCCTACCGTCATCAACCCCGTAGCCTCGGTCCTCAAGAACAACTATTGGGGGTACCCTTGTGTTCGCAAGTCCTACTATTGGGGGATACCTTTGGGTCCTTAAATGCTAGTGTTAGGAAATAACCTTGGGCCATCAGGTGTTGGTATTGCGGGGTATCCTTGACCCAACAAGCGCTAGTGTTGCACGGTACCCTTGGCCCAGCCAGTGCAGCTGTTGCGCGGAACCGTCCAGCCCTCAAGTTCAAGTGTCTGTAATGCGGGTACCCTTGGCCCAACCAGTGCAATTGTTGCACGGAACCGTCCAACTCTCAGGTTCAAGTGTCTGTAATGCGGGTACCCTTGGCTCAACCAGTGCAATTGTTACGCGGAACCCTTAAGCCCTCAGGTTCAATTGCCAGTATTGCGAGTCCCCTTGGCCCAACAAGTGCTAGCGTTGCGCGGTACCCTTGGCCCAACAAGTCCTAGTGTTGTCGGTACTCTTGGGCTCTCAAGTCTTACTATTTGGGGGCATTCTGAGGTCTTCAAGTCAAACTATTGGGCGGTACTCTTCGGTCCTCAAGGAGGATCCAAGGATACCCCTCAATGCTAGCATTTGATGGGCCAAGGGTAACCCTTCAGTGCTTAGGGGTACCGGTTCGGGGATGAGAGCCACTTACATGTCCGTTACCGTTCCCAGGTAACTGGTAACGGAAAAGTTACCATTAGGGTGTGGGGTATGGGGCGTGGGTGTGGGTGTGGGTGTGGGGTGCGGGTTGTGGGTGGGTGTGGGTGAGTGTGGGGTATGGGTGTGGGTGTGTGGTGGGTGGGTGGGTGTGGGTGTGAGTGATGAGATGAAATTCACACCCACACCCAAACCCCACACTCACACCTACACCGACACCCACGCCCACACTCACACCCACATTCACACCCACACGTACACCCTCTTTATCTTGTACTGTACCAGTTTCACAAAAGCGTTGAAATGTAGCTGTAATGCAACCTACACCTGGGGTACTTTTGTCAATCTTAACCTGCAGTTTGCGTTTCACAACCACAGGTGACTCAAAATTGGTCATTAACAAAACTATTTGTATTCTAATGCTTGTAGGCACAAGCAGTTATCTGAAAACATACAGAACAACACTTCATAGCATATAATATAATATTTCAAAAAAGAAAATAATTCGCTTACACTGTTTAAGATTTGTGCACAAGTGCTTTTCTCAAAGACTTTTGAAATATTCTGTAGTTATTAAATATGCATTCTAGTGCAGGAAAATGATTTGCCGCATTACACTCAATCAGTTAAAATGTATAGCAGGAAAGGAGTAATAATGCAACAACATCCAAGACATAATCCATCCAAAAATCTATCAGCAAATGAATTACAATGTTTATACGATATACTTGGAAAAAATTGTGTGGTAAACAATTAAAAGCATTATAAATTTTATTTTTTTTTTTTTTTCGAAAATTTTTATTAGACTTTAGGAACAGCTGTTGCAAAAATTTCACATGATTCCGATGGTACTTGGATAGAACAAGCATGCGGCGTTTTTTGTTTTGTTAAAGATTATCATAATCGATCGTATTATTTTCGGTTATATGATCTGAAAGTAAATGTTTTGGTTTTTTGGTATGTGAAATTTAATTTTATTATTTTGTTAAGTTAGGAAACGCAATTTATGAAGAGAGAGCACCATCTTCACTTCATCTTGTAAAAGTGTCAGATGCTTTTTACACATTCGACGGATCAGTTAGTTCAATATTTTTGAATGATTACTTATTTATTTATTATTTTGAATAATAGAATTGCAAAATTGGAATAAATTTTGATGATGACGATGAAGCGCAAACATTTTCCCATCATTTTCATGCAAAACAAGCCGATCGACAAAGTAAAAAAGGTTATTCTGAAAAGAATTCTAATATTAGATTCAATAATTTTTTTTTCATCATACTTTTCTTGATGAATTGATCAGGAGAGGATTTTAATAAGAAAAAATAGTGCATAGATCTAAGAAGAAAAATAGAGATTATTTCTTATACGAAACAAGACTTCGTTTCGCAGGTCATAAATTGAGCAGTCCAGGATTTTTCTGTAAACCCTTTTGTGTATCATATCATAAGCCTCTATGATTTATATGTGATAAGATCAAGGTCTCTCATATGTTTGAAATAAATAGTCTGAAAACTGCATCTACTCTTCATGAATTTTGGTCTCCTGAACATTTTCTGGTCTAAGCTGAAAAGCTTAATCAATATCCTAGCGAATAAAAGACTTAAAAGTATTATATTGAAACGATCGAAACAAACAATTTGAGAAAACATCTCATTAAAGTACTTATTGAAAGCCTTTTGTGTCTTACTTAATCGATTTCCCTGCATGTACTATTTCAATTTACAGATAAATTCTTTACTCCTATTATTCTCCTTCATTTTACTGATAATAACGACCTTTTCTATCTCTAGTGAAAAAGAAAACATTTAATGTGTACATTATTCACACTTCTTGTTTTTATGCAAACTCTTGACGCATTAAAAGTACGTGAAAACATATCCATTACAAGAGATATTATTAAAATTTTATTCTTATAAGAAAATTAGCTTAATTTTATTTGACACGTAATTTCAAAAGTATGAGCTTTATTTTTTATTTTCAAGTGTTTTAATTGAAATAAGTTCTTAGACTTAGATAGAATACATAAATAACCGTAAATAACATTCGATCTCATTTAGAAAGTATATCGTCGATAGTTTGATATTTAAACGGTTTGCTATCCTTTGACCGCAATATATCGATAGTTGTTTTCTGACCGGGTATACAGGCAGTAGTAGGATATGAATATTCATTCGAATAGTGCGAAGATGATTTCTACTGTTTGTTAAAATTCTTTTTTCATAGAAAAGAAAAAAACTAATGTACCAACAACCATTGTGTCACAGCCATCACCATCATTAGCAACAACCACTGTTGATACTCTAAAAAGTAAACAAGATAATTTTTTTTCTTATTAGTTACTTTCATCTAGTAAAGTTCTTGTTCATTATAGAATCAAATGTAGCAAAAAATTCGGATTTTTCAAGAATTGGTCCGAATAAAAAGATACCTGTTCGTCCTTATATATCAGCACCAATTCAATCGACGTATCTTTAAAAAAATTTTTTTTTTAAACTAATTTTATAAAATTCTTCTTCTTAGATTGGTTCATGTTAGTCATATCGGTACCAATGAAGTACGTTAAATTGGGTGTTGTATTTTTGTTGCTTTATTTTTAATCCATTATAACTGATATATTTTGATTTAATCTGTAGATTTTTTTCAATAATGATGCAAAAAGACAAATGTTCGAAAACGTATTAGCTGGTATGCATATATCAGAAGAAGAGAAATCATATGTTCGAGAAATTGTAAAAACAGATGTTGGTTTACAAAAACTTCTCGGAGGTAAATATTATGTATATTTATTTGTTTTAGAAAACTAAAATTGAGGAGTTTTTAAGAACCAGTAGCACCTACACATGATGCTAATAATCAAGGACAACGACAAATATCAAGTGGTGCACCAGAAATACCTTCACGTAGTTATAAAACTATAGGCCGAAATTCACCAACTGTACCTCCACTGTCACTCATAGAGCTTCAAGAAGGATCGTAAGCGTATTACATCTTCTAATAAAAAATTAAGGATTATTATTTTTTTCATCATATAGTGTTATGGATTCAAACCAAGTAAAAGCTCGGCGTGCACCTCCGTCACCGCCACCGTCACCTCCAATGCCCGCAAATTTAATGAATCAAAATCAAAGTTCAGGTGGTGCGCTTACACTTCGCCCACCCCCACCACCTCCTTCTTCAATGAATCCAATAATTTCAAGGGGACCAGTAACGGATTCATCCTCTGTTCCAGCTTCAAGTTCGGTAAATGAAAATTTACTGGATGATGCTAGCTCCTTCGATATATCTGGATTAAAAGTATATGATTTAGCTTTTTTTGTTTTCGATTGTCATTATGTTTTGTTATTAATTTTAGCAACGATTGGAACGACTAGCATTACGAGAAGTTTCACCAACAGATGATACAAATTCTGAAGCACAAGATAAAATGGCAATAAGAATTTCCCAAATTCTTGATGAACGACAAGAAAAACTTAGTAAATATTTCAAATTTTTTCAAGTATGAGTATGAATATACGATTTTTTAAATTTTAGGTGAACCAGAAGTTCAAGATAATAGTTATTCAAGTGACGATGTATTATCTAACTAATTATAAATCTTGGGGTTTGGGTGGGTGTGGGTGTGGGTGTGGGTGTGAGTGTGGGTGTGGGTGTGGGTGTGGGTGTG